GTTTCCAGGGGCCAACAGCAGTAATTTTAATAAGTACAGAGTTTCCTCAAACTGGTGGCAGAAGAGGAAGGGAGAGGAATTTTAAGAATGAGGAAGAATTGACAAACTGTTGCTGGCTTAAAAAATGGAGGAAGCTCTTGAGAAGAAATGTGCATGTCTTAAGGGATATAGGGCAGCAAATATATAAATATTATGGTCCTACAACTATGTAGAGCCACCCAGGAGAGGAATGCTAAATGCCATACTGTCATAAAAATATTGTATTTGAATAGTCACCCCCCAAAATATATGACCACTTCCTAACATGTAGCCTTACATGGAAAAAGGATCTTTGCAAATACAGTTAAGGATCTCAAGATCACCTAGATTTAAATTAACTCTAGAGTCAATGTAGGTGTCCTCACAAGAAAAAGGTAGAGGGGACTCTGGAAAAGACACACATGGGAGAAGGGAAAGTGAAAACAGAGGCACAGATGGAGTAATCTGACGGAGACTCCAGGGGAGAGTGGCAAGGAGAGGTACCTGACCTAAGCACAGTATGTTATGTGCAAGTATGGATATGTCAAAGTGAAACCCACTAACTTAATAGGACTGAATTAATAGTACAGAATAATTATAATAACAAGTAATAGAACCAAATAATTATAATAACAATTTTTAAAATCCCTGCAGCCATCGGAAGCTAGGAGAGAGTCATGGCCTGGATTTCCCCTCAGAGTTTCCTTAAGCAACCGACAACTTCCTATACCTTGATTTCAATTTCTGGTCTCTTACACTTACATTTTTGTGTTTTAAATCAGTTGGTTTGTATTAATTTGTTGCAGGAAGCTAAAAAACAAACACACAAGAAACTGAATTCTGCAAATAACCTGAACAGATTGAAAGCAGAATCCTCCCCAGAGTCTTCAGATAGGGGCCTAGCCAGCAGACTGTACCTTAGCAGAGAATCCGGTCACCTCCTAGGACTTGGGACAGAGCTGTGACCTAATAAATGGATGTGGATTTAGGCAACTAGGTTTGTGGTAATTTGCTATGCATCAATAGAAAACAATGTTTAGTATTCAATTTTCTTATATTATTACATCAGTTAATCTTTACAATCCAAATTTATGTAAGAGTTTTGATAGTGAGCACCCTTGTATTGCTCCTGACCTTAATGACAGTGTCCTTCATGAAATACTTCCAAAGCTAGTAGGGAAGGATCACCAGAGTTCTGGGATATGTTAACAGATGTGGGGAAAGTGTCCTAAAGTCACAGAATACTGAGAAAACTCTGCTTTAGAAAGTAAAATGGGTGAACTCAAAAGCACAGTTTCAAAAGAACACATTTCTTCTGGATTTGTTTAACAACATGCAGACCCACAGTTTTCTTTAAAAAAAAAAAAAAAAAGACGACAACAACGACAGCGGTGGTGGTAGAGGTGGTGGTCTGGATGTTTAGTTAATACTTTGGTCAACATTTTTATTTACATGACTTAAAAACCTCTTCAATTAAAATTCCAAAAATTTTTGGCTTTGTCAAAGAGTAAATCCATAAAGGCAGAGGTTATATCTATCTTGGTTATTCATAATCCCCACAACTAGAAATATTTACATGCCATAGTTGCTCATAGTATTTGGATAAGCAAATGGGCTGATGGAGAGAGAAAACATTTTCTCCACAGCTTATTTCACATAGTTCTACAAACTACCCAGAACTCTGCCTCTTCTATACCTTTGTAAACTCCATTCTTGCCTGGAATGCCCCATCCCTCTCTATTCATCCATACTGAAGTTTCAAAATCTGACTGAACTACTCTCTAAAAATGATATTATAATCTGCATATAGTAGGCACTAAAGAAGTAACTAAAGTTCCTTTCTTTAAAAAGTAAAGAATGTACACTGGGAAGAGGTAATGGTTCCTTCAGATTCATTAATTTACCAAGTAAGCAATTCATTCACAGTATTGATGACAATTTTGTGATCATTAATTTTATGTTAACTTCACCGGGCCACAAAGTGCCCAGACATATGGTCACATGTTATTCTATGCATGTGTCTGTGAAGGGACTTCAAGATGAGATTAACATCTGTCAATACACTGTGGAAAGCAGACTGTCCTCCCTAATGTGGGTGGGCCTTAATCAACTGAAGACCCAAATATGACACAAAGGCTAAGAGGGAGCTCCCTGGAGCTGGAACAGAGAGGTCATTCCCTCCTTTCCAACTAGACCTGAAATAATGTCTCTTCCCCAGTGTTAAGCCTGCCGGTTTTGGGGACAGAAGCCACACCATTGGCTCTCGTGGGTATCCAGCTTGCTGAACACAGATCTTGGTACTTCTCAGCATGCATCCTCATGTGAGCTAATTCTTATACATGTCTATATTACATATGTACATATACATATATCCTAATGGTTCTGTTTCTCAGGAAGACCCTAATATGATGTTTATTCTTCCAATTGATCTTTCATTCATATTACTCAGCAGTCCTGATAAGAACATAGGCATTGTTGGGAGTCACCCCAGCTCCAAAGACTAACTTCCCAATCCCCCAAGAAAAGCCGTCCAATGGTGAGCCCTGCTGGCTCACATGATCCTTACCCACCAATCAGACTAGCCCTGCTGGCTCACCTGATCCTTACCCTCCAATCAAAAAGTACCCCCTGCCAACTGTCAGACCACCCCCAGCTCTATAAATATGCAGAGCTGTTCCTCAATAAACAGGCCTTTTCTCCAAAGGCAAGCCTTGATGGTTCTTTCAGGCATCAAACCAAGGTTAAATTAGTTTCCTTCCTGAGAATTTGTCAGGAGCTACTAGAAAAGAAACAACCTTTCTCTAAGTATCTCTACATCACAGGAGCCACTTAACCCCCAAAAGCACAAAGCCTATCTAAGAACAAAGTCACGTACGTGTTGGCAGAGTAGAGAGAAGGGGAGAAAAATACCTACATGGAATATTGTAGACATAAATCAAAACCCTGAATTCAGCTATATTTGGTGCCAGCAAAAGCCTTTGATTTCTCAGTTATGTGATCGAATAGTTTTTTTAAGTTAATTTAAACTGGATATTATTGTTTTCAAATAAAATAATCTTGACTAACACAATACTTTCATGTAATAACTAAGGAGCTTACAATACTCTGCGTGAAAAGACTGTCACTTTGGCTTTATCTAAAGTACTATTTAAGGTCAAAGGAGGATTAAAACTTTAACAGCCTTAAAAGTATCAACATCACTATTTCTACTTGCCAAATTGGAGTGGATGCTATCGGTTCCTATGAATACTAGAAACTTCATAATTAAGTCATTATATTTGCATACCTACTAGAGAAGATGAATTTTCCAGTATTAACATTTCTAAACATAATTATCAAGAGTCATCTTCAAAAACCAAATTCTTTGCCAAGGTTCTAGTTTTCCAGAGTCAAGAAAGCTAAACTAATGTGCTACTTGTACTTCATTGAAAAAAATTACAAAACATTACTGAGCCCTTACTATATATGCCAAGTAGGCAGAATAAACATTATCTATTTTAATGATCACTTCATGTCTATAAAGTATGTATTATTTGTATTCTTCTATTACAATCTTCATTTTAAAGATTAATAGGAGAGATGAAAATAATAAGCCTAATAAAAACAGTAGTGGTGTTAAACATTTGTCAAGAGTGTACTACAGCCCACACACCATACTGATGTACAAGAAGGATCCTATTTAATCTTCACAATTATCTTCTGGGGTAGGTACTATCTTTGGCTTTATCTGCAGATGAGAAAACTAAGGCTTAGAGACTGACTTGCACAGTCCAGACCTGTGCTCCACATCAAAATCAGTCTGCAAGTTTGAAGACATCCACACCGCATCTTGGTAAATTCCATACTACTACTTGAAGTGCATTTAAAGTTGTTTAATAAAAACCTGAATTTCTCTACATTATTTGTGTCCTTGAATTGCCATACGGTTTACATTTGTATTTTCTTCTTTAATTCCTCATCTTTGAAAAACACAAAGATAAACAATAAAGGAAATTTGCATTATATATTTCAGCTCAAATGAGTAATACAGGAGCACAGAATTAGAGTTAATAACTCTAATATAGACTTAATTTTATAAAAGATAGTTGAAATTCTTAACAATGACCAAAATCAGAATGCAATTACATCTGGTATCTATATTGTGATAATTATTTTTCTTAAATGAGAATATATCTTGTAAAGTAGAACAAGAAGAGGGAAGCATCAGGTAAGGCTGCTATTCTAGAAAACTTGTCAAACTGACTGAGACTGCAACCTAAGTCTTAAAAGAAACCATGAACAGGCACTCATACTAACACAAAATACTTAATTTTAGATACTAATACATAAATCAAATATTAATTTAATTTTGCCAAAAAATCATTTAATAGTGATATGTGACATACTTTTGTATTTAAATTACGATTTGGTAAGATTCATTGTTTCCTGAGCTATATCATTGTAGTGTTCCACATTTGTCATGGGACTTCTCAGTAACCCATCCTATTGTGTTATGGGAACAACAGAATAAAAGGAAAAAATAATCTGTCTCTGTTAACTCATCACCTGTCCCACCAACTCTTTCAACACTCCCCAAAACATTCTATTTGTAACCAAAGAGTTTGGGGAAAGGGTAGCCTTCCCTCCATCTCTAATGTTTCTGAGTAGAGCCAGAAGTCTCAATGTCTTACAAAAATGACCTTGAATCATAAAGTTTACCCCAAGCCAGGACCTCCTTTAAATCTAAAACTTCAGAGTCATGTGTCTGGCAGAAAACATAGGAAACTCTAAATGAATGTTTTTGAGATGGACTGAGGTTGTTCTGGGTCCTCTACAGTTTAACAGTTACCGTCTGTCTCTAGACTTCTTTGACACTAAATATACAAATATATGTTCATAAATATAAGGACTTAGAACCCCAACTCCATCACTGGACTTAGTTTAATAGACGCTTCCAGGATGGCCTACACTTCTCTACATAAGTGCAGCAGCAAAACACTCACTGGGGAAGTAAGACGTCTCTCACAAGAGCCAGAAGATTGCCTTCAGAATCAATGTTTACTTCCTCCTCGCCATTCCCATCCTCCTGGTTCACAAGTAGAGATGTGGTTTCTGACAGCAACCGCAAGCTGAAGAGTCTCCACTCCACTTGGAAGAGGGGAAAAATGTCAAGAATGTGACTACACTGAGAAAAAATTAAAACAGATTATGCAACTGAGAAGATTCTACTAATGTGGTCTCACTTACCATTTTGACTTTGAACCAAGGAGACCAAGGGTGGCAGGATATAATCAACAACCTAAAAGAAAGGATGGGAAAGACTTGGTTGAGAACTTTCTATTAACACAAAACCAATCTAAAGCACTATCTAAGAGAGAGGAAAATAACAGCTAAATTTATCCTAGACTTAAAACCCTTCATGATATTTAATAAACCAATAAGCTCATTTAACTTTGAAAAAGTGCTCAGGTCAAAATGACACTATGAAAATCAAAACAGTAATTTCTCAAAACCTTCAATGCTTATGAAAGGAACTTTTAGTGTATAATACAAAATCTGGATGGCAAAGGTTGGTATTAAACCACCAAATTATATGCATAAACTGTTGATCATTACTTAAGTTTAAGCTAAACAATGATCAAAATGTTGGTGAAAGAGAGAAACACTAATTCATGACTTATCAAATACATCAAAGGACTATGACAAGTTTATTATGGTTATTTTTGGAAATAGGCTCAAGAGATGTAAATACACTATATAAAGCACCCTATGAATTCCCATTTACAGTAGACACAGGACACTCAAATATGGTTTGAAACTTAACACAAAAGCTTAAAAATATTTTTTTCCTTCAAAATATCAATGAAGAAATGACAAATCATTACTGCAATCTAATCCTAAAACCTAATTTCTCATTTGATCGACTGCTTTTGCTGTGCACTTGTCCTATCCACACTGGCAGGCAGGAGGAACTATGCTATACACAGGCACACAACACCTTGGTCCAAACCAATGTTCTGATGCCCTGCACAGGTGATGACTCTCCACACATGCTTGGTGGCCCATGAGTCTGTAATATTGTATCTGGATATTTATAGGGACCCTAAGAACCAGGGATATTTTATTCACCCTCTACCACTAAGTAACGGACATCACTCAAAGCACAGATGTCATGCTCCACCTAAGGTATTTGGGGAACTCCAAACTTCCAGTTCAAAAAGCAGAAACTTGCAAAGAAAAGAAATATATCCTACTATTGGTATCTATCAAAATGATCAACACCTATGTGGAAGGTTTAATAATATATATTGAGAGAGGAGTGGAACTAAAATAAGTGGTAGACATATCTATCTCAAGGTCTGAAGAACAATTATGATCAAAAAAGCAAGACTGTCAGACAAAAAAAAAGAATATATAAAAAGTAACAGTTTCCTGTTTACCTACAGCAACCAAAATAACTGGAAAAATATACCATTTACAAAAATAGAATTCTAAGGTACTGTTTCAGTTTAGATATGAGGTGTCCCACAAAAGCTCATGTGTGAGATGGTACTAGAGGTGAAATGATTGGGTAATGAGAGCCTTAACCTAATCAGTGGATTAACCCACTGATGGGTATTAACTAGATGGCTGGAGGAGGTAGATCACTGGTGGCATTCCTTTGGGGTACATATTTTGTTCCTGGAGATCAGAGCTCTCTCTGCTTCCTTTTGCCATGTCCTGAACTGCTTTCTTCTTCCATACCTTCCTACCATGATGTTCTGCCTCATTTTGGACCTAGATCTATGAAGTTGACCATCTATGGACTGAGACCTTTGAAGCCATAAGCCCTCAAACATTTCCTCCTTCAAAATTATTATTGTCAGGACTTATTGGTCATAGCCATGAAAAAACTGACTAAAACAGTACCTATGATATAACCTTCATAGAAAGACACACAAACACATACAAAAAATTAACATTGGCAGGTACTATATATAGACACTAGTGGATTTCTGGCTTCCAGTCTGATGTAAAGAGCTTGGAAACCATCATAACTATCCTTACAATGAGGAAAGAAGGGGGAGGGAAGATGACCAAACTGAAAATTAACAACTTTTTTTTAGATATATCAGAGAACTAAAGTCATGGGGCAAACTATCATCCCTAAACCTGGAGGGGCAGGCAAATAGGGAAAAATCAAAGCTTGCAGGGGCAGAAAACACACTGGGGAGTCTGACCTCTAAAGCTCCACCAAGTTGTCAGGGTAAAGACCAGGTAAGAATCTCCTGAAGCTTCTGGAAGGGGACAGAGGAATTTGAAATGTGCCCAGGGCACTTTTTTCTCCTTAACAAAGACCCAGACTCAAGGGACCTCTTTTGCCACAGCCAAGCCTTCTGTTTTTGATAGAATTTAACTGACCTGGCCTTTCTGCCTTTTCTACAGGGTAGGAAAAGCAGAGAAATCCTTGTGAAAGCCAAAACCCAGGAACACATGCTCACCAAAAGAGTGACACCTAGTCCAACAAATTAAAGAACACTTCCCTTAACCCAGTATCTTACCAGGCTCCTATAGTAAAACAGCATTATAACTGAGAAAAGCTCCAAGACAGAGACTTCATTTAAAGACGACTTCCTTAGAAAAACCCAAAGACAAGAGGAAAACAAAATCAAGGACACTACAGGAAATGTTGGCCTCTGAAACCTACAGCTATCAGACAATAAACACAGACGGGCTCAGCCTTTGATAACCATAAAATTGCACACAAAAGGCCCATTTTCATCAGTTCATTTTGTCCAATACCTGATGTTGGGATGAAATATTCAGTGTTGAAAGTAAAATAAAAACAACCTAGAATCTCATACCAAGGGTAATTATCATACAAACAAAAGGTGAAGAATGTTTTTGTCAGTAGAGCTGCCTTATAAAAAAATGTTCAAAGTTGTTCTTCACAGAGAAGGGAAATAGGGCAGAAACTTATATCTACATAAAGAGGACTATTAAATAAGTAAATTAATGAAGGTCGATTTCCTGCAAATTATTCTATAATTCCAGTGCATCAAAAGTCAAAATCCCAACAAGGCTTTTTAGGAACTCCTCATATTGATTCTATAATATATATGGAAAGTGAAAGGTCAAAAATAACAGAAAGCATGGGGCAAGCTGATTAATCATATCAAATTTCTGAGTTTATTATGATGGAAATAAAGTGGTACAAGCATAGGTCTAGACAAAGAAATCCCTGAAATAAAAAAGCAAGTCTAGAAACAGACACACATGGTGTTTTGGATTTTTGCTGCCATGACTTAAAAACCAGACAAGAACAATTAGAGGAGGACAAGTTTATTTGGGAGCTTACGGTTTCAAAGCTCTCAGTCCACAGAAGGCTGGCTCCACTCCTCTGGGCTTGGGTGAGGCAGAACATCATGGCAGAAGTGTGTGGTGGAAGAAAAGAGGTTCACACATAATGATCAGGAAGCAGAGAAAGCTTTTCTCAACAAGAGCAAAATATAAACACCCAAAGACATATCCCCAAGGACCCATCTCCACCAGCCACACCCTACCCGTCTACAGCTGTCACTCAGTTAAGCACTGATTAGGTTAAAGATCTCATGACCCAGTCATTTCACCTCTAAACCTTCTTGCATTTTCTCACACATAAGCTTTTGAGGGACACCTCACACAGCAATTTATAAGTGGCTAAGATAGTACTACCAATAGCAGGGGTCAGGGTATTACTTGAGAGCATAAGTACAATGAACCATGTACTTTATTTTTTAAAAATCAGAGAACTTTTTAAAAAAATTTACAGAGAGCTTAAAGAGCTAATGGCAAAAAGAAAAACTTTCATAAGAAAATATGGAATAAAATTTGTGATATTAGAATAAGAAAGGGATTTTTTAATTGATACCTAAAAAGGACAAACTAAAAGGTGAATATTATCTTAGTTTTTTTTTTGTTTCTGTAACAAAATACTTGAAGTTGAGTAATGTATAAAGACAAAAGGTTTTTTTGGCTCAGTTTTGGCCCAATCAGCTTAGTCTATGTTGAGTGCCTCATGGCGGATGGCATCATAATGGCAGAAATAGGAGCAAGAAGTCAGAATGATTCAAGAACCAGGCTTTCTCTTTTTATAACAACTCACTCTCTTGGAAATTAATTGGGGTCCTGAAAGAACTACATTAATCTCTTCCAAGGGCAGCACCCCTAATGACCTAACCATATTCTACTAGTTCCCACCTTTCAACATCATTACTCTGAAAACTCTGAGAATCAAGTTTCTAGCACATTCATCTTGGGTTTCACACTCAAACCACATCCAAACCACAGTATTATCATCCCTTGGCATTCAAAGTAGACTAGTTCCAGGAACCCTTACAGATACCCAAATCTAATGATGCTCAAGTCCCTTACATAAAAATGATATAGTATTTATGTATAAAACCTCTGTGCATCCTTCCATATACTTTTTGATCATCTCTAGATTTATAATAACTAATACAATGTAAATTCTAACTAACCTGTTAACACTGTACTGTTTAATGAATAATGACAAGAATAAAGTCTGCATATGTTCAGTAAAGATGCCCTTTTTCCCTAATATTTTCAATCCATGGTTAGTTGAATCCATAGATGCAGAATTTACAGATATGAATGGCTAACAGTACTAATAAATCTAAAGAGTGAATACATGTAACCTCGAATACAAACCAAATGTAAATTTCTGTGTCATTCTCCACATTTTAAAAAAGGAAGTCTAATTATGGCATCATTTAACTTTTCAACTAACAGTTTTTCTTTGAATAACTCAAGACAATTAAAATGGTACCCACCCCATGTGATATAAATTTAATCCTTACAAGTGAGAATAATCCTTTAGGAATAACAAATAGAAGATGATAATGTGGGAATTAAATGCTTTTTCAATATATAAGTGAACAGAAAAAGTTTAGAAGATCAACTAGCTCCTATCTGTTGAGTAATGACAGCCAATTACTTTATAAAAAGAAGGCTACCCAGTAAGAAATAAATTGAAAAAGTAAAATTACATAAGAATGCATATTTAGCAAGCTGAGCTAGATAAAGAACATAAAAACTAAAAAAAAAAACTAATCAATATTTTTCATATTCCATTCAATAACTACATAGATCAAAATAATAAATAGTTTTCAAGAAAAGATTATGGTTTTTAAGACTAATAAGATGATGATCATGTGTCTTTTTGGCAAAATGTGCACTTAAAAAGATTCTAGAAAAAAAAAACCCCATGAACATAAAAATTTAAATGTTAGTTACTTCAGGGATTTGGGATGTAGACAA